CTTTTAGTGAATACCACCGTGTATAAGTTATATCAAGCAATGCTTCAAAATTCAAACATTTTAATTAAAAACTGGATATGAAATAATTTAACAAGAACTAAACCTCTCCTTATTTGGACAGTACGATTTATAGATATGCCTTTTTTTAACCTTAAAAACAAAACAAAAATTTAAAAAATCAACAGTGCTTAAGGATTTTTGTTTACAAACTAGAAATGGTGTCTACTATTTTAAAAAAGAAAGAAAGTGCTTACTTGTAATTAATTGTTAATAAAACTACAATCCTCTACAGCTCGCCACCTTGGAGGTTCTTCTCTCACAAGAATAGATTATGAAACTGATCTGTTAACTCAAAACACTTCATTCAAAATGCTATTGCAGTAAGCAAGTATGTCATAAAATTCTATGGTTCATAATAAAATTAGTTAAATTAATAAATATCCACTTGACAATGTAATGGAAAAGTGGTTATGATCTAATGAAGTACTATCCTTGGAAACCTACTATACTGAAGAAATTTCACTTTGAGAACCCCTCAATAAATTTCAGTCTTAGAACTTAATGGAAATTTCTACGGTTTCCATATACATGATTTTAGCAACAAAAAATGATGGAAAGGTAAAATCAAAAATGAAAAACTTCCTAGAATTGAAAGTTTTCAAAATACAGTTGAGTACTTAAGTTTATTTTTATGAAATTTCATTGAAATATTTAATATTTCAATAAAACATATTTCATAGGTTTAATAAACCTCTTTCAATACTATCATGAAAGCACTTAGTACATAAGTGTCTAAAGCAGAGCACAGAGCACAGTCATGTGATTATATGAAATATTTTTCCATAAAATAAACTGATACAAATAGGATAAATAACAGAAGATGGGCTGAAATTACTATTATCTCAGAATTTCCAAATTAAAATGGATAAATACAACTGTGGAATGAGAGAAATAAGTAGAAAATGAAAAACACTGTTATTTGATATGCTGAAATAAAAAATGTTTCCATGCTATTTTCCACTGCTTTTTAAGAATCATTTCTTGTAGTAAGTCGTATGCATACAGGTAACAATGAGTAGCACATTTCCCTAATTCAGGACTCTACTTCCAGGGCTAAAATGAAAGAAGACTGTAGGGCTGTTTTAATTGTAGGATGGGGTCATTGCACTGATATGTTTTAAGGCTCTCCAGGCAATTATAACATGCAGTTGGCCAATAATGACTTTTCTATACCTAAGGTCCAAAGTGGATATACCCATAAAAATACTAAAAAAAAGAAACACTAAAATATATACAAATGAATAACTTCAATAAAGGATGAAAGAAAGAAATCCCAACTGTTCACTGGGACAATTTATATGAAACCATGTCCAACTGGCTGGCTCCCTGTCATTGCTCCACCAATTTCCTTCTCCTACTATACCTATCATGTCTATATTCTTCCTCTTTATCTTTGTGAAATCCTGTGTCTGAAATGAGGAAGAAAACAAGAAAAAGAAACTTTTTCTATCCACAACCATCAGAAAAACTTACCTTACTGTTCCCACAGTAAAGTTTTGAAGCATACATCTGAGATATATTTGAAACATCTCATGAAGAATATAGTATAAATAACACCAAAACTCTTCCATATAAAAAGTGTAATATAAAACACTAAACTTGAATGATTAATCACTTCTAAAGGGAAAATAATCCTGTACAGATTCCATGGTCTGTGTCCTGATATCTCCAACTCAGAATAGTGATTTATATACCCATCCATACTCTAGTATCACTACACACATACTCATATATATGTACTTATATGTGTATATACAAAAGAACATGAACATATGTGTACATATGTATGACTTCTATATTGATAATCTATTACACATTGAAAATACACAGTGAATTGTTGCTACAACAAATCGTTTTTATCATTCACTTAAAAATGTGTCCTATGAGCAATTGGAGGTTGTAGACTATTTCTACTTCAGCACCATTCTTAATTTATCACTCTTAAATTCAGTTGGTATTTCTTTTCAAATGTAGTTCCTTCTGGAACTAAAATCTTCCTGTTTTTAAAAATGCTTGCCCTTGGGGTGCCTGGGTGGCTCAGTCATTAAGCGTCTGCCTTCTGTTCGGGTCATGATTCTGGGGTCCTGGGATCAAGCCCGGCATCAGGCTCCCTGCTCCACGGGAAGCCTGCTTCTCCCTCTCCCATGCCCCCTGCTTGTGTTCCCTCTCTTGCTCTCTGTCAAAAAATAAATTAAAAATCTAAAAAAAAAAAAAAAAAAAAAGCTTGCCCTTGCATTGTCTAATAAGGTAGCCATTAGTCATGAGACTACAAAGTACTTCTAATGTATATGGTGGGAAACCAGATCTTGAACACTTAGCATGAAAAGTGAATGTAAAAGATCTCATTAATAATTGTATTATATACATAATATGATTGTTTATATATGTTATATATTATAGTTATATATGAATTATATATAATTATTTATATAGTTATACTACATATATTTATCATACAATTTATTATATATAAAATATATATTATATATAATATATAAAATAAATATATATAAATATATAAAATACTAACATATTTTTAATATATTAAGTTAAAACATTAAAATTTATTTCACCTGCTTATTTTTAAGTGGGACTACTAGAAATTTTTAAATTAGATCTATGAGGCTTGCCTTATATTTCTCTTAGACAGTAAAGGCTTACCCTTCTACTGGCTAACTCCTTTCTCCAAAAAACATTCAATAATCCAATCATTAGCTGACACCTCAAATTTAAGCTTCCAGATTTTGTTTCTAATTATTCATTTAATTTCTAAGCGAATTCTTTAGAAAAGCTCACATAATATTAGAAAACATGAGATGTTTTGTTGAGATGAACATAAAGATCTGACGACTGTGAAAAAGAATTTAATCAATGAAATGCGCAGTTCTTTGGTTAGGATAGTCTTCACTATACTGGTCAAGACCAGAGAACCTTCAACAAAATATGGAAACACTACTGTTAACAATCAAAACACAGCTGAACACCAAAGAATCTTGCTTATATCACAATCATTGCCATGAACATCCATCTCATTTTATACCCAGTCCCCACTACCAAGAATATGCAAAATAAACACAAACCTAAAGATATAACACAGGAATTCTTGACATCAAAGAAACTCATATAACAGAGTAACAGACTTCAGGATTTCCAACACAAAGATATACACTGGAATATTCCCTGGAAGTTACGACCTCAGTACCTCAGCAATGATAAAAAATAAAAGAGCTGTCTTGTTCTACCCAATTCATACTCTCCACAAAAACAGCAGTACATCAGCAAGCTATGCATCACCAAGTGAAGGCTGTTTGCTACACAACTAAAACCAAGCTAAAAGGTTAAACATGCCTATGAACTGTTTATGAGATTAGCAGCAATTATGAAGCAATAATGAGACAATGGCAACAGAAAATAGAATACTACCAGAATTGGGAATTGAAAGAGAATACAGCAGAGGCAATAACAAATATTAGGACATGGGTCATATAAAATGGGATAAACCTGGAAGACACTCTCACACACACACATTAACACACACTCAGACTCATATGCACATAAATCTTAGAACATTAAGTCAACAGGAAAATAATCCTAATGGTTTCTCAGTTGGAGTAGAAGTCTCTATATAGTAAAATTTGACAGGAATATTTATGATGCAGTATCTTTAAAAGAATGTAAATATCTGAATCAAAATTAAATTTGAGATTCAAATTTCCATTGCTGAAGTTTTTTCAGAGCCAAAACCACGTAACTGTTACTTAACAATTATTTTTAAAAAAGAAAACAAGAGTAGGGAGGAGAACTGGTTTGAGAAGAAAACCCTCTCTTGGTAGAATATAAAATAAGTATCATGGAAAATACTTAGAGAAAGGCATATAGGAAGGAGTGTCTTAGTTTACTGCATATGTCTTTGCCACACAGAAATAGTTCTCCCCCATGAGGCAATTACTTTGCCTCTGGTGTGTAACTTCCTGTCTTCAGAGAATAAAATATATCTGGAATTTAGAGGAAACTAAGTCTCACATTAAAATAAAATTCTATTTTTCTACTTCTCTTTGGATTCCAAAATTGGATGATCAAGATGATACTACTCCTATAACGTCAAACTTTAATCACTGGAAGCAATTTAAATCATGAGACGCGAAACTTCAGATTACCACTGCGACTAAACACTGCACTGTTGGATATCTTGCCATTTTATAAGAACTTCAGAAAATAGAAATTTTGTAGAATAAATATTAGCTATAGCATCTCACTTTGTCTTCTGGTTAGTTTAAATCCCACTAAAAAAGAACTGGAACTTACCCTTAAAGGGTAGAATCCACACTACTTAGGTCATGGGAAGAATTCCCCTCACTTCCTAAAGATCAACAATGCAATTCTAAGACTTTTCCATAAGAACACTGAAATAAGTCCTAGGTTGGGGGGGATCACAAAGAAGTTAGCAATTAAAAGAAAAATCAAACTAAGAAAAACCCACCATGAAAAACTCCCTTAGTAAATTTTGATGCTTAAACAGTTAAAAATATAGACAAATAATATCAATAAACAAATATTGTAGAGGGGAAAAATAAACGTCAGTTACAATATACCTAAAACTTCACTGTTTAAAGCTCTATTATTACTGTGGCATAGAATTTAAAAATTTAGGTGTTTTCTACTAGAAACTGTAATCAAATAGGTTGCATTGGTATGTTCCAACTAAGTGGAAATTCTGAATAAGATCACTTTAACTTTAATAAATTAGTCTTCATTACAGCTTTAAAAAAAAAAAAAAAAAAAAAAAAACAACCTGGCCAAAACACTTTGGTCAACATTAAACATTACATCTAAGTTCTACCTGAAATCAGGAAAAATTACCCTCCAAAGTTCCACGTACGCCTTATTTTATATAATTGCTCCAACAGATTTTTCTGTCTATATCATTAAAATCACCCTACCTGTTTGGACCGAGGTCTACCAGGAGAAAATTTTCTTTTGGTAATAGCTGGTTTACCCATGCCGATTTTTGGAGTGACTGAGATATAGGTTGTTGGCATAATGTTTCCAACAGAAGCATTGAGGGTTGAAGGGTAAGTGTGCAGTATGTCCTGGGAAGGCAAGTCTGAAGGAAGTGGAGAGGAAGACACATGTGCCTTGCTTACATCTGCTGCTGACACAAATGACAACTCCGTCTCAGATGGAGATTTTACAGATTTGTCTTCTCGGCATAAACCACCTTTCACACAGCTCTCAATTGCAGGGGTCATTTCAAAGTCCATAAATGCAGTGGAAGATTCAGAACTTGCTTTCTGTTCCATTTGTTCTTGTACCCTTTCTATAGCCAACTGTTCCTTAGAACATAAAGAAGTACTTTCCTTACATGGGGACACTACGGTTTCTGGTGGAACAGGGGCAGACTCAGTGGTGAATTTTGGACGCTGTGATTCTTCTGTGGACGCCAACATTTTGGGTTCCTCTAACTGCAGGTCCTCATGCTGCACAATGATCTGGTGTGTACGGACTTCAACGTTTTCTGTCACTTCCATTTTGTTTTCATTTTGATCTTCACAAATATGCATCACTTTAGAAGACACTTCCATTTTGTCACTATCAACTTCGTGAGAAATCTGATTTTCCATTTCAGGATTCACTTTATCTTGGGATGATTCTACAAAATTTGGAATATTTGTTATGTTAATGTACCTATAAATTAAAATTTAATTTTCTGGCTTAAAAATAATAGGCTTGGGCAGGGGAAAGGGAGACAAGGGATTTCCAAAGCACACTTATGGTTAAACCCTGACTTAGAAGGTATTTATCCAAAAAGAACAATTATCAAGTTAATAAAGACCAAAATACACCAGGATTTATGAATCAGAACTGGTCACAGATCAGGTGATCTGCTATAAAAACAGAAAAGCTATAAAAACATCATCTTAATAGGATCTCCAGAGTTTAAGGTGGTTTCTGGTAAAAAATATCAAAACAGAATTTCTAATATAATTCTATTGAACATATATGATGTTTTACAATTTGAACATTTACAAAAAGATTTACAATTTTGTAGGCAAAGTTATACTCTTTCAACAGCTAGAAAAAGGAGGCTCAGTGATCTTACATGAGGTATCCAAGTTAAAAAGTAAAGACTAGTCTAGAATATAAAGCAATTTTGCAATAGCAGGCACTCAGATGTAAACAACTCAAATGAAGTATCATTGAAATAACTGAAACTCATTCTGCAGACTCAGATGAGTAACATCACAGAGAGAAGACTTATTTTACTTATTAGCTGTACCTGCTAACATATATATTTTTGATATAATCTTTGTATTTCCTCATCATCAATAATTAAACAAAGCTTAGCAAGTCAATAAACATAATTAGATATCAGAAATATCAAAAGTCACTAATTGGTAAATTTTAAGTCAGGGTGCTAATGTGTTAAGCCTTTAACCCAATCATGCCCGAAAACAGAAGTCAGAGATCCAATTTACATGAGTTCTACATGGCTCTATCAGGTAAGATCACCGGATAAAAAGCACTTATTTCAAATACTATCAAGGTAATTTCTAAGTTACACTGACAGAGTTATTAATTTTCTCATTTACTATTTACTGTGGTGACTGCACTTTATGTTCTGATATCAAAATGAAATCCAACTTTCATTCCTACTCCATGGAAGACTACAGTTGAGGATAAAGACAAAACCATCAAATAACAGATCTGATCATACCAAATATTTTTACACAAAAAATGCTTCAAAAAAGCTTAACATTAAAAAGGAATGATTAAAGGGAGCCTGGGTGGCTCCGGTCATGATCCCGGAGTCCTGGGATAGAGTTCCTCATCGGGCTCCCTGCTCCCAGCAGGGAGTCTGCTTCTCCCTCTGACCCTCCCTCTCATGCTTTGTCTCTCATTCTCTCTCTCAAATAAATAAAATCCTTTAAAAAATGATTTAAAAACACACTTTTAAAACAGAAAATTACATATAAATAATGAGTGCCATCATTTGAGTGACTCACGTGAAAAAACTTATCCTGATGCCACATGAAGCCTAAACTGTGGTTAATAGAAGACCGATTACCTCAAGTCTCACTGAAAAGAAAATGTGCAGCACACATGCAGACCACAAGTATATTATTTTTGTACACTAGGCAGGAAGTATTAAAATACAAATGTAAACATGCTCTTCATCACAAGCAGTTCTATTATGTTCTACTACTAGTCTTCTATAATGATTTTAACTTATTTTTTTCAAAAATTTTATTTATTTGAGAGAGACAGAGTGTGCACATGCACACAAAGAGGGGGTGAGGCAGAGGGAGAAGCAGACTCCCCACCGAGCAGGGAGCCTGACGTGGGGCTTGATCCCAGGGCCCCTGATCATGACCTGAGCTGAAGGCAGACACTTAGCCAACTGAGCTACCCAGGCGCCCCTGATTTTAACTTAATAATGAACATTTGATTTAGCAACTCTACAGAGACTATAACCTCCTTTAGAAATCCAATGCTGATTCTCTGTAAGAAAAGGATCACTTAACTAAAAGATTTCATTACTGTAATGTGTATATGGCAAAAGTAAATAGTTCTTCGGGATAATTCATTTGAAAAATTAACTTAATAGATCATGGCTCAAATCGGCAAAGCAGTCATAAAAGCATTATGCTGTAATTCAACCAAACTAGATAGTATGCTTACCAGAAATGAGAAGACCATGTGTATCAAGACTTTCTGGTGGATTACTCTTCTGCTGCTCTTCTGTGTGGATGTGAACTGCTGTGAACGACACATTTATGGAATCTCTAGCAAGGACTCAAAATCGCTCTAACACTGCTCTCTCAATAGTAAGTTGAATAAGATTTTTTATCCTACTACCAAATGCCAATTCTCAATATAAGCACAAAACACACTGTTACTAGTTATTAGTAAGCAGTGTATGGAGATGAAATTAGGAATCTGATTATGCACTATGACAAGATTTATTGTTACAGTTAGCTTTGTCTTATTTTTCCTCAATCTTATGCAATACCTTTTAGTGAAAGTTGTTAAATACAAAACTGAAACTCAATCTGAGGCTTTGTGTGTATACACTCAATCTATATAAAATTTCACATAAAATCCCATACTGTCAGATGAGCCCAAGATTAAATTTAATAAGTAGTTTTTCCCCAACCTTATCTCATTAATTCCACATCCTCAAGTATAGTAATAGCTATTATCAACATTGCAAAAAGCTTAATTGAAATATCACTGAAATAACTGAAATACCCTCAACAGAACCACTGAGACGATCTAAAACAATAAATTTTTCATTATCTCAGCATGAAACATCTCACAATAACAGCTCTAGTTAGTAATTAGAAGTATAACTAAAGAAAGAGAAAATAATAAATTGCTTTTTAATGAAAATCACGTGGCCCCCAAAGTATGTATTTATGATTAGGTCTAGATTACAACTGAACTATAAATATATATATGCCCTTTCCCCTATTAATTTCTAATGTTATTTTACTAGAAAGCTCCTCTCTAAACAATTTCCTAAGTGACTACACATTGTGGCTCATTTTTATTTAGGATAGTAAACATATAGTAAATTTCACATATTCACTGTATATACACATTTTCTTTAGAAAATAAATTATATCCATTATCAAAAACATTCTTACCATCTGGAACAATTCCAGGTGTGGACTCCTGACCATTGATGTCTTTATTAATTGCTTGCTCCGGAAATACCATATGGTTCTCAGGTCCTTCAACTTCCATCTCGTTGTTATAATCTTAACAGAATATTATTTATTCTTTAGCTTAGAATAAGTTTTTCTGTTTTTGTTAACTATGTCAACAGTTATTACTTTGCTGTAGTGAGGGTAAATTATCACCCAAAATGCCATCAATTCTTCACATTTTTAAATTTTCAACCATAAATATATCTACATTTTAGATGTAGATGGAAAAACATCTAAATTAAGAATTAAAAGGTTACTGACATATTATTTAAAAGGACATTCCACAACTGTATACTGATGGTATCCTGGAAACAAAGCATTAGTAATTAAGATGTGTCTACTTAAACCTCTCACAGATAACACAGGACTTTATAAAAGTTGCCATTCATATTGATGAAAAGGAAAAACCATCTGTAAGACCGTCTGTTTTCTTTACCACCAAAAAACTTATTATGTTTCAACCAAGAGTATACTACTAAAATTACCTAAACAAAATTTTGGGCTCAAAAGATATGAACTAACATTTAAGAAGCACATTATAAAACTAAAATTTGTTTGGAGTGAAAGAACCCAGGTTATAAAGTACAAACTAGGTCATACAGCCAAACATTGACAACTTGCACTGCTGCTCAAAGAATACAACTGGTAAGGCACATCAGTCCTGGAATGCAAGTTATTAGGAGAAGGGCTGGAGCGTAGCTAGATCAGATGTCAGCCATCAGATTCAGATATGACCCAAATCACATGTATACTTAAAGGCTGAGGAATTAAGAATAAGATGGGACCTGATACACAGGATTCCCTCATCATTACTAAAATAATTTATTGGAGACTGGTTGGCACAACATCAAAAAAAAAACACCAACAACAACAACAAAAACAAAACCCCAAAATTCTCAAGATTACCTGCAGTGACTTCAGTCATCTCCACTTCATCACCTGCCTGTAATGGGTCCATCTCAGCTGCTACATGTTTACAATACATGCAGATATACTCTTCTTTGAACTGAGAATCCAGCTCATGATCTGTTGGTTTGTCACATTCTAAATGAACCCACCTGCAGTGACAAATATATTTAAATAAAATTTTCTAATTTAGACAATTTACTATCCAGGGAAAAAAGAGGCAATTGCTGACAACTGGGTATGCGAAGGGCTAAGGATGACAGACGAGAAGTTACAGAAGCTGGCAATTGGTGAAGGTTCTAGAAAAGAAATTGGCATCTTCAGAGGTCATTAAAGGTGTTCACGTATTTTTACTTCCTTATTTTTAAACCATTTCTCCTTACATTCCCCTCTTAATGCTCATTTCTGGTCTTTCGTCCATTCACTTCCTTATGCCTTTCAGACTCATAAATATGTAATTTAATTTCATCTTTAACAGAACTCAGTACCCGGAGGATCATTAGAGTGATAAAAGCTTGGAACTCAAAGATACATGGTAGCACAAATGATCACATGGATAAGAAAACTGACCAAAAACTCAATGGAAGAATTGTATTTTCTTACCTTTTGCACATATTACAATGAAGCATGTCTTTCTGCAATTCTGGATGGTTGCACTTCCCACAGAAAGGACATAAGTTATCCTGTTGTTGGTAACAACTGTCACATACCAAGCAATTGTGGTGCCACTGAGAACTAGATCGTGTGCCACACTCTACACATATTCTGCAATTCTAAACACCAGAAAAAATGAAAACAAAAACAGTTTGTTATGCATTTGTATTGCAGTTCTGGTGTGAACCTTTCTGAAATCAATGAAACATTTGTACATTATACATTAAGCTTTAATTTTCATGACACTAATTTAGGGTATATGTTTTTGAAAAAGCAGTGTGTTTTGAACATCTGATGTGACATCATTCAATTTGCACTAAAACCTCCATGAAAATGTAAATAGGGGCGAGAGACATCCAAGAAAACATAAATAGGGAAGGAAGAAAACCAAGAACACAGCAACCCAAACTTCAAATAAGAAACATATCCCAGAATCAGGAAGTAGCTTATGTGCAAAGTAGCTTATGTGGAATAAGACTACTCGACTCTGGACTGTGAAAACAAACTGGTGCTTCTAAACTATTTCATTTGCTTGTATAGGTAGCTTAGAAACTAAAAGCAAGAATTCATGAAGAATTATCATGAAGAGCTATCATGACCCACTCCAAATGACTTGGAGTCTGAAACTGTGAAAGTAAAATCCAAATTTTGAGGAGCAAGATATTCACATGGTCTTACATATCTTCTCATATAATGTTTTATTAATTATGAGAGGAAAAAAAACTGAAGCAATTTGACAGCAGCATGACCAAATTATTAGAATGCACGTCACCTATGAGGTCGAGATGAGCACCAGGTGCTCTAGCAGAGGCACACTGACAAGAACACATCATCACTTTGGCAGTATTCTGACCAACAATGCAAAACTCTATATAAGTGTGAAGAAGTATCAGACAAAAAGACAAAGTGAGAAAAGTTCTATTTGGTGGGAAAAAACCCAGGTATGTGGGGAAGAACTCTATTCTTCAAAAAAATGTCAATATCAAAAAAGAGTAGGACTCAGGAAATTTTCCAGATTAAAAGAGTCCAAAGTGAGAACTAAATATAAAAGCTTACCCTAGAGTAGATCTTGGAACCTACATGGGGGGAGAGGGGGATGCTATATGGGATGTTAGATCAAGTGACAAAACTGAAATATGGATAATAGATAGATGAAAATACTTATATTGATGCAAACATATGAAGTTGATAACAGCACTGTGATTATGTAAGAATATCCCTATGATTAGGAAATAAACACTGAAGTGTTTAAGGGTAAAGAGGGCACAGTACATGTAACTTACCCTCAAATGGTTCAGGACAAAAAAAAGAGATGGGAGGGAAGAAGAGAGAAGAAGGGTACATGCAATGATACTGAAATCCTAACAAAGGTAAAAGGTAAATGGCCTATGGATATTTTTATTTTTCCAACTTTTTTTTTTAAAGATTTTATTTTTTTATTTATTCGTGAGAGACAGAGAGAGAGAGAGAGAGAGAGAGAGAAGCAGAGGGAGAAGCAGGCTCCCAAAGAGCAGGGAGCCCCATGCGGGACTCGATCCCAGGACTCTGGGATCATGACCTGAGCCGAAGGCAGATGCTTAACCATCCGAGCCACCCAGGCGCCCCTATTTTTCCAACTTCTAAAGTTTGAAATTATTTTTTAAAAAATTCATGATATACCAACACACAAGCATTCTTGACAGAGAAACAGGAAAAAGAAACCTACCTGACAACAACTGGTATAAAACAAAGTTCCTGAAAAGATTACCCTTACTTCAGTATGAACAGCCTCACTAGTCTGACACCCCCCATGAAGGCAGACCTATTTGCCCAGGTGCATCTCTGGCCCCTCCACACTGTTTGACACACAGTAGGCCTTCAAATGTTAAATAAATGAACGAATTATGACCACCGACTACAGACATCTATGAAAGAATTTAACAGTAGAGGAAGAGGATCATTCTTCAAATTACTCAGTGGATACTGAGTGGATTACTCAGTGGTTTTCCTATGAAAAACTCCAGGATAATTCTTTGGGTACTTAATTTAGACATTACGATGGACACTTTATAGGCATCACCTCACTAAATCTAACACCCCTGTGAGGTAAGTTCTAATAACATTCTCTACAGGGGAAAAATTGGCTTAAGGAAGTCAAATAATTTGCCAAAGATCCTGTATTTAGTAATTGCAAAAGTGGAGATCTGACTCTACAGCCTAATCTTTTACCAACATTATAAACCTCCATAGAACAGATTAAAAAAAAAACAAAAACTATCCAGTTGTCTTTTTACCAATCTTATACATGATTCAGTCACTGTGAAAAAGCACAGCAGACTAGGATAGAGGACAAATTAGTAAGAGGGCAAGACAAAGATAAAAGAGAGTGTTGAGAAATAAACCCAGAATTCTGAAAACGTTTTCTTCCAAGATAATGAAAAAACTAACAAAGAAGATAATGAATTAAAAGCAGGAAACAAAATTATCTAGATGTTACTAAACATTATTTAAGAGACTGTAAAGATGGCAAATATTTAAGGAAAAAAAAAAAAAGCAAAGTTAACCAACACTTCTTTAGGCCTTTTCTTGGGCCTGACTACAGACTGACAGTGGTCAACATGTTCCAGGCAACCCTAATTAATGCAGAACCACAATCAGATACAACCTGGAAGCAAATTCAAAGAACTGACAAAAATAAAGATCCCAAAGCTCTTAAGTAGAAAAAAGGATTATAGTTAAGTGAACATTTAAAAAAAAAAGGGGGGGTTAAGATTTTTCTTCTGTGATACCACAAAGTGGGAAAACTGGGGGGGGGGAGGGAATTTCTACAGCTTAAAAAGAAAACATTGTAAAACGAAATGATACCAAACCAAGTTCTTATCGTAGTCTGAAGACAACAGTCTCTTTCAGATATGTAGGATTTCAGAAAAATTGCTATACCTTAATGGAGCATAACCAAGAATCCAAAAGCCTGGGGTTTAATGAGATTGGAATTTATATAGAAAATATATATATATATATTTTTTTTTTGCAAGGAAAAAGTGACAATGTTTACGGTCTCAGTTGATTTAAAACAGAGAGGAGAGAAAGGAAAAGAAAATTGCTCATTTCTCCATTTTCACTGGTAAGTGGGGGAAGAAAACATTCATACTTTCAACATTTGTAACATTCACAAAATAAAATTTTTAATTGCACGTCACTGCAGAAAATAAAAGGAACAGAAAAACAGAAAGGAAATCAAAAGAACTAGTTTGTCTTAAAATAGCCAAACATTTCAATTGCAACCATTAACCTAAATAAAAATGACACAAAGGGACCCAAAATAAAAAAGATGCGAATAGATCACATTCAACTGGTAAACTAAAGCCCTATGAGGCCATATTGTCGGACAAAAAGAGCTGGTTCAAAAAAAAAAAAAAAAAAGGCATTACACAATAGAGTAGCTTTACACTAATAAAAAGTAAAAAGTACAACATATCAACACTGACCTGACCTACTTGCTAAATAACAACCAAAAAATGTTAGTATTGTTTACAAAAGAAAAAGTAAAATACAAGGAGAAACTGAGGAAAACTGCAGTGGTCAATTTCATCTGCATCCTAATACGTTCTCGAATCAGCTAGTCAAAAAATATAAAGGACTTCATCTATCTAAATAAAATTAATAAACACAAATATTAAGCCTTAAAGTCACTACTTCAAGTATTAAAGTATTTGTGAAAAAAAACCACACTGGTTAATTATTGGGTTAAATACAATTAAAGCAGAAGTTAACATGCTTAAGCACAACTGAAAAACCAAAAGATACAGTGATTAGGTCAGATGTACACAGAGAGAGGGACAAATACAACATATTTGGTTGCAGCCAAAGCTATAATCAAAGGTAAATTTATAGTCTTTAAAAATACACCTTTTTCCTTAAGAAAGTAAAGAAAACGAATTACGAATTCAACTCCCTATTTCAGAAAAGAAAAAAGGCAAGTAAAGGTGTGTGGAGGAGACGAAAGCATACACATACAGATCCGCCGACAGCGGGTTTTTCTGATCCCGATAATGAAGCCCTGAGCGCACGCTGAAGCCACCGGGCCCCGCACCCAGGAAAGAACCGGAACCGCGGAGAGGCCGGCGGCAGCTCGCGCCGCGCCCGCCCGCAGGCCCCGCCTTCCCGGAGCCACACCTGAGGGCAGTTACCGCAGGCTCCCGTTCCCAGGCCCTCCCCTGCAGACCCCGCCCTCCCGCCGCGGCCGCACCGAACTCCCCGCCCGCCGGCCTAGAGCCAGGTGACGCGCCCCAAGTTCCAGGTGCCCCTCAGCCGGGATGGCGGGGCGTTGGCGCCGGTGCTCGGCTCCCTCCGCGTCTCCACTCACCACCCCCACCCGGACCCCATCCTCGGGGTCCTCCAGGCGAGCTCGGCCCCCTTTCCAGGACCTTCCTACGACGGCAAACAGCCCCCAACCCCGACTCAGCCAGCGCGTCCCTCCCGCGGCCGGAACGCCTTTCCAGCTTCTGGAAGGAGCCTCCGGCTGGCGCCACCTCACGGCCTGCAATCCCAGCAGCCCACCAAGCCTGCACCTGGAGAGGGACCCCTACCCTCGGGTTCCAGGGACCATTTCAGGCACCCCACTCCACCCCAGCCCTCTGAAGCCCACCCCGCCGAAGTCAACAGCGGGGCCGTGCACAGGGGACAGGAGCGCGTTTCTGTGCCGCTGGGACAACAGTGAGGGCGCAGAGAGGTCACAGGTGCAGTCTGGGAGGGCTGTTCTCTGAAAAGTGGGAAGTTTTCATAGAAATGCTAACATAAAAAAAATTTAACTGACCTTCAAGGTTACCACAATGCAGATTTTAATGCCCGCATTTAGCATTTGTATTTATTATTATGTTAGTCCCAAGGGCCGTCAAGGGCGTACAAAAGATGCAAGATTTTACACAGTAAATTTATGGTAAAAAGAATGAGCTGTTTGGATGACACAGGAAAAATGCAGCACCCACGGAGCCAGCAGAGAGGATTCTTATCTTCATACACATCAACTGACAACAGTTAAAGGGCAAACAACATACCAGTAACTTAAAATGAGGAACTAATGTTCCATATTTTAGAAATAATTGGATTGATTCCCCCATTTAGTACAGATTTCAATTGTACCACGATGGTGCACTCATGAACAAAAAACTTTATACTTATTGAGTGACACTTCATTACATCTAATGTTGAAGGACTGCCTGCTGGCACTTTGAGGTCTCTGATTATTCTGAACTAGTAAACAGGGTCATAGCATTATCAATACTATTTTTATATAAATAAAAAAGGCATTCTCTGTATTAACATTATGAAAGCCAAAGAAAAAGCCTACACACTGAACTGGGCATGAGAAAATACCTTTCTATTAAACCCCAATCTTGGCAACTTAATTTCAAAGCAAAATTGTATGTCAGATGAAATTAGTAATTACTTTATAAATTCTATTTAGTTTTATTTTTAAAAGTCCATATAATTATTGAAGATAAAGTTTATGCCTAGTTTCATGTCTCTTCTATAAAATTTAGATATTAAAAAAAAAAACAACCAGCTCAACCTGGGGGATGTACAGAGATAGCCTATGAATCTAGAGTCCTTAGGTCTACACCCTAATACAAAAAGAAAATTAGATCAAGAAATATTTCTTAAAGAGAAAAGCCCTGCTACTCAAAAAGTATGACAGCATAGGGAGAGAGCATCATATATAGGATAAAACATTATAAGACAGGAAACCTGACTTTTAGTCCCTTTTCTGCTTCTATAAATAAGTAAACTTGGACAATTAACCACTAGAGCCTCACCAGCTCTCATCTAGAATTTATTAAGTTTGCCTATATAGATTTCAAAGGAAGCACATGAACTACTTTTATGACGGATCCATCCTAGAGAACATTTAAAGAAAAGTCATAGTAAATAGTTTGTAAATATCTTCCAAACAGGAAAATTAGTTTTATTCAGTCAGTTGAGAATTAAAGATAAATTTGTTTTATTCTTCTACTTTCACTTTAAGAGTTTAAATATTTTGTGCTTCCATGGACAAATACTTCTAAAATGTGTTGCTGTTCACCTGGTGATGTACAAATAACTGCCCAGTAGGTAAAGCTGTCAGCCAACCTACAGGGTTTAGAGATACAGACGACAGCCTCAGTAAATTCCTCAGGAAGCGTAAAGAGACCAGCATAGAACATAAGGTCATAAAGATGCAAATAACAAAATAGATGAAAGAAGGGAGAATCACTGACTAAAAGAATATCCAGAAAAAATTAAAAATAATTGAAAATGCATCTTAAAAGTGTCATACCAAGCAGAAAGATTGGATATCTTAAGCAATGAAAAAAATGGAAAAATGTCTACAGACCTCTAACTCTCAAAACCAAGAGAATCTTTAAACAGCATCTATAAAATAAATATCTAAGTAAATAATCACTAAAACTACCACAGGGGAGGGACAATATACATATGCATATATAGTAGGATTCCAAATATTTAATACAAGTGTATCTATACATATAAAAACTGTGATGTACATATATAATCACTACATAATCATCAAAATGTAATGTATTTTAGTTCTGGATTTTAAATCAATGGATTTTAAAACTATTGCTCTGTGTTTTGGTATCCTCATGGGACCACTACACTTCCGAGAGTTTCTGAGATTAAAGATAAATCATTCAAAAACAATTTCTAAGCCATTAAGCACCATACATATGTTTACATGTTCATAACAGCATTTTTCATAATAGCCTAAAATGTAAGTGATCCAAATGTTCACCAACAAGTTATTTGATAAACAATTTGTGGTATGGCCACTACTTGGCAAAAAAAAAGGAATCACTCATGGTATGCACAAAAATATGGCTGATTCTCACAATAATCATGCAGAGTTTAAAAAGCTAGACCTCCCCCCCCAAAAAAAGAGTATATACTATATGATGTCATTTATATAAAACTCTAGAAAATGCAAATTAATTGGTGAATGAAAGTAGACTGCCTGAAAGACAAGGGGCGGGGAGGTAGGAATGGGTGAACAGTTGGAAAAGAGGGATTCCCAAAGAGCACCATGAAACTTTTAGGGGTGATGAATTTGGTGGTTATCTTGAAGGTGATGATGGTTTCATAATGTACACGTGTCAAATTAAATTGCAAACTTTAAATACTTGCGGTTTACTGAATATCAATTATACATCAATAAAGCTGTTTTTTAACAAGTTGATGATACTGTATAGATTTGAATAGGTATCCAATTTGTCTGCTCTATATAAAAAGCATACAGATGATATTTTTCTTAAAAAAATAAACAACTTACTTTGCATTTCCAGCCATTGGTTGGTACTGATTTCATAACTGGTTGAAGACAAAAAGTATGATACCCTTTGTCACACGTATCACACACTAGCATCTTGCTATCTTCTCCCGATTGTCTAAAAAATAAGATAGCATTAATGATGCCTTATCTTTAAACTTATGTTTATAACATAAGTAATCATGAGAAGAATCAATCCTAGGAACTGCCCAGTTCATCAATACCTCAGTGTCTGTTTTGTCTATGCCCAGATAATGATAGAGGTAACCCCCTAAAGGATGAGACAGACATCTTCCTAAGGTCCCTACAGGATTATCCTTACTGAATGCTCCACCTATGGTGAACCTGCTTTAGCCACGTTAGGATTCCTGCAGAGAAGGAGGGGCAACAAGATGAATGACTCTGACCTTTACTTTTTAAATATCTCAGTAAATATCCTTTCTAGGGGAAGGAGCTGTAACTGATAGGTGACGCTGCATGGGAAGGAACAAATCTTGTCATTGGGAATTGGAAAGACACTGTCATATAATAAAAAGAGGATCGAATTTGGCATCAGACCTATATTTGTATTCAGACTGCTGTTTTTCTAGTTGTGTGATTCCTGAACAAAATAAGCTTAGTCCTCATTTCAGGAATAAAATGTGAACAGTAAAGACACTGAGAATTAAATATAATTCTGGTTGAAGAGCTTAGAATATCCTGTAAACATTAGTGCTAAATAAACAGGTATAAGAATCATCTTGTAATAATTATTAAGAACAGTCAAAAACCTAAACTCTTTCCCTGAACATTCCTGTGCCCCAAAGATTGGGCCCCTGGCCTACAGCATGAGCTCTGCCTTGATTCTTGGCTGTCAACCACTCTCAGAGACTAAGAATTTAATTCAAGAGGAGGGGAAAAGAAAAACTGGGGAATGCAAGAAGAAGAGCTGAGAGAGGAGCCTGCGTAAAACCTGGGGACAAACAGAAGTAAAAAGGAAGATGGGTTAGTTGGCCTCCAGTTCTTTCTTACTCAGCTTAAACAAATTCTACATATAAAATTGCATGTTTTATCTCTTTAGCTACATGGAAAGATCTTAGAGGAAAGGTAATCTTTCTTCAAGTTCTCTTACTCCTTCCCAAGAAAGTAGGCACAGATATAAGATATCAAATAAGTGTTTGCTGGTATTTTAATTTTTGCCAAAATATAAAAGCATATTGTCCTATTTATTCCACATAATTGTAAGATACTGATGCTTACTGTTACCAAATTAAATTACAAATAAAACAGACTGATCATGGCAGTGGTGGGCATAATTTCTCCTGTTAAAAAAGCCCTCAGCTTGTAAACAATTTGAAAACTGCTATAGATGCAGATAACTTCTCCAAATTATCATGCTAATTAGTAGCAGGAGAAAAAAAAAATCACAGAAAAGATTGGAGAAATAACCAAAGGATGGAATACAACAAATAGGAAAGGATAACCCCATTACAAACGTTTAAATGCCATATAATAACTGTACTTCTTTTCAGTATTATGGTGACTAGGATCGACTGAAGGTAACTGTTTTTCAGATAGATAGAGGGTTGTTTTTTTCTTCTTAAGTAGTCTTAGCATAAATTGTTCTTCCTGGAATGGAAATTCAAACATATAACTGATTCTTTCACTCACTCTCATAACTACTTTCTGCAACTGGAGGTTTATTTTCCTATTAAATCTCCACCCCAGTCTCTCTCAAAAACAGTTGCTTTATTTTCTAATGCTTCTTTTAAATTGTTAGTATCAGTCATTTAAAATGTTTGGCAAATTGAAATCAGGTTTTTAGGCAACCAGAGGAATTTAAAATTATTAAAATTAGTTTCTGTTTAGACTTGTTTCAAAATAATGTTAATAAATACCTAGTAATTTTTTAAAACATGACGAAGTCAGTGGGAATGAATGGAGCTGCAGTATGAACAATCTTTATCATATTACACAAACCTTTAGCACCTAGTAATAGGGTCTCTCTTAAACTCAATACACACCTTGAGTTGAAATTAAAACTTACTTGCAGTTCTGGCACACTTTGCACTCAGGACATTGCCAACCTGCACGTTTTAATGGAGTAACCGCTATATCCAGGCACATTCCATGATAGTGCTGACCACAAGTAGTACAAAAGAACTGATCTAAGAGGTCTCCCGGGCTGTCGCACACTGCACAGTTTGCATCTTCCTTTGCTATAATTAACAGTAAAACAATGAAATTGTTGTATAAGAGTTTAGTATTTTTCTGACTTTACAATTTAAAAATCACTTGAAGGGAATTTGCATGGTCAATCTTTCAGACACTGGAGGTTATGCACATTGAACTGATATCCAATCAGAAGAAGGTCTCAGTAAAACCACTGTGAATCATAGAGTTTTGCATATTTGTCCCTCCATCTACCTGAGACCATAAGCAGTTCTTATCTAATTTTATATCCCTGGTACCAGGATTGATGCTGGGCACCTACTTAATGCTCAACATACACTTGCTGAAAAGAACCAAACAGGAAAGTAATCAACTGAGAAATGCCTTCAGGTGCAAAAATAACCCTTTTATTTGGATGTTAAATAGATTTTAAAATTAACAACGTAAGTCAAGAGACAAAATTAAGAAATGTTAAGATCAATTAAATGCTTCTTAAGCATAAACACACTAATTTTTATTCATAGCAAATATATATTTTTTTAATCCTGGAAAACATCGTATGAAGGAGAACATTAAAGATGGAAACTTCATATTCATACATAAATACAAAACTTCATATACTAATTCTATATTCATCTATATTAATTGCCAGTCTGTAAAAAGGTATTATAATCTATATAATTATGGATATCATCTATCCCTAAATGTGGATTAAAAGAAAGTGCACTTTTTAAGTTCTTTTACCACCTAAAACAAAAAATAAATGTAAGAATAACCTGCCTTGCCAACTACAGTTAAACTCATGTACATCACAATAAGAAAAATGTGTTCTAAAATCATACCGATCTGATGATGTATGACTATATCTGACATTTATGTTCTCAACTAAATGGTTTGATTAGCTGATTATCTAAAGACTGTTTTAAATTGTACATACGAACCTTTTTTTCTCTTATTTTTTGAAGGTTTGGTCAGTCCTCTCTGGCTGTAAGCCCTTTCTACCTTCTTTTTTTCCTTCAGTCAAGCATCTTTAAATAGACTAACAATCTATTCCTTTTACTTGGCAAACCAGTTTTACAGGCCATAGAATTTCTGACATAGAGACTTTTTGTTTTTATTTTAAAGTCCTTTTAAAATGGTAAAAACAATTCATAGTTTGAAGGCAGTACAAAAACAAGTCCCAGAATTTATCTGGATGGCCAGCTGGAACCCTGGGGGCTGCACACCCACCATTCACCTGGTGCTACCTCCATGAGGCTACCAATGATCTATGAAATCCGAAGGTTACTTTTCTGACCTTATCTTATTTGTACTCTGCAGCATTTCCATTCCTATCCACTCCCACATGACAGTACCTTGGCTTCTGTAATGGAAGCTTTCTCCTGATTTCTCCTTAGGTCTCCCATGCCTCCCTGTCACACTGTGTTGGCTTTTGTATCCCTACAATTCCTCTACCTGCTGGAGTGTCCTGGGATTTTATCCTGTTCCTTCTTTTAAAATTCCGCACGGTTTCCCTTTGTGATCACACCAGCCCCCATGTTATAAAATACCACCATGATTCCCAAATCTGTATCACCAGCCCCAAACTTCTTTCTAAACTACAAGATGTATTTTGAAGTCTCACGGGACCTCAACAGCCAGATGTTCTAAATAATACTCAAAACTCAACAACTCTAAAATAAAACATTTTTAAAACCTAAACCTCTCCCTTTTTCCTCAACCAGCTGGGTAAAGGCAGAAACTTTACTATCACTATTACTCTTCCCTGACCCAACACATCCAGCCAGACACCAGTTCTGACTGAGTCAACTTCCTATATATCCTTTTTCCTATTTGTACAGTTCAGTTCAGTCCACTCTGCCTTGTAATTATACTATCTTCTAAAAGGAATTCCTGCTTGTTGACCTTTCCCTAATCATCATCTATACATCTAGAGCAAGTTTTCAAAACTGTGAATCTGTTATGCCCTGCTTAAAAGTTTACCAATAACTCCTTTCTCACGTGAAAAAAAGATCAAAATTTTCTAGCATAAGGGAAAGGAAAAAAAAAAAAGCCCTTTACCTCCCTTTGCTACAGAATCTCATGGCCACTCAGTATTCCTGATGATACCAAGCAGTTTGCAATGCACATTCACACAACATGCTGCTCAGTGCCCGTGTGCTCATATACATTGCTCCCCACTGCTTGAAATATTGTTCCTTTGCGGTGCTGTGCCCCTAGCTCTTTCCAAAGAGGCCTTCAAAACTCTGCTCACACACAGTCCTGAATATCTAACACTACCACACCTAAAGATCCATCCATTTGTTGAATATTCCTTTTCCCCATATACTGAGAATATACTGTTATATAATCAAGTAATTACAACATAGTACTCGGAACCCTTAAAGGGTAGGGACCTTGTTTTGTTCAACTTTGTATCCTCAATTTCCTAGCACAAATCAAGTCTTATTAAATATATCTTAAATGAAGAACTTCTAAAATCACTTTTAAATGATTCTTTGAGCAGCACTTAAAATAAAGCATTAATTTAAAAATGGAAATGTCATAAATCAGTTCATTTTTGATAGAAATAACACAATAGGGTGAATTTTTTTAATACTGAGACAGTGCCAGTATTTACTCATTCAAACTATGTACATTTAAAAACTAGTCCTTGATTTTTTGCCTCTCCTCAAAACTTACAGAAACTGAAGCAAATACTGTGCTCTGATTATCAGATACTCAGTTCATCTTTCTACTGTAATTTGCAGGGAACACTGTCTAAATGCTTCTGTGAAATCTTCCAGAGTTTACTATTCTGCTAATTAACTTGCCGTAGCAGCTACTAGTCACATGTGGCTACTGGGCAACTGAAAGGTGATTGTCCAAACTTTACTAGGAAAAAAATAACATCAAATATCTCAAAAATTTTATTGCTTACATGCTGAAATACTAATATTCTGGATATACTGGGTTAAATATATATTTTTTGAATTAATTGTAATTTTAAAAAGTTTAACATGACTACTAGAAGGATTTAAATTACTCATATTGCTCACATCATATTTCTGTTGCACAGCACTGTTTTATACAGCAAAGCCCATTCTACAATAAGATAACTGTGTATATCACTGTGGCAGAGATTACTTCTTCCTCTATGATAGCTTGCAACAATTCCTTAATGGCAATACTGTCATGTTGTTCAATTAGTATGGATCACTGGTAATAAGTTAGACAAAGAAAAACATCCACATGATACATTCAGTCTAAAAACATTTACTATGCATTATGTAGAAATAATAATAGAAAAAAAGCACTACATCAAGAAATGAGGTTGGTTCCAACCACTTCCTCAATCAGGAAGAAGTATAGAAATACCAAAACAGCCTTTTGGAGGTCATGCAAAAAATGATATTACTACATAGCTTAAGTGTTGTGTCAGAAATAAGTATATGAATATATACATACATATATGCCCCACAGAGATATTAAGTTTGAAGCAATAATCAAACAATGAAGTGAAATTTTTCTTTAAGCGGTTGAAAAGGCAGAAGAGATTGAGTGGAAGACTAAAGCTAAAGCTAACTTAAGACAAGAGTTAAATCCAGGCCAATCTGGCTCCAAAGACCATGCCCTTTACTAATCGATATTTACTACCACTGGAAGGGCAAATAAGGTGAAGAGTATCTGCACATGTACAGAAGGAAGAAGGAAAGTGCCAGCAGAGGCATAGAATGAAGAAGCTAAATGATGGAGGAGGAGCAAGAAAAGAGCGGGAAAAACAGAAGGGTCAGCTGCGGACAAGGTCACATCCTGTGGCAGCTGCAACAAGAGAAGAGATGGAGGAAAAGACAAGAACACTGAGCCTAAATGAGAAGGGACCGTGTCCGAGACACTGGTCAAGCTTACAGGTGAGACTACTGCTGACACAGGAGAATATAAACCCTGGTGAAGAACAGCAGAAGTCACACTGCTGCCGGACTCCATCCGCACAGCTCTAACTTCCGTCAACAGCACAGCACCTATCATCGCGCCTTCCACTCCTGGCAGGACACTGCGCTGGACTAAATGCAATCACTGGCAAGAAAATCTACATCATGGATGTTGTCCAGAGAGGCTGGCCCACAGAGCAGGCAGGGAGGGAAGAAAGTTCAGGGACTGACAGAATTTAGGATAACAGGAAAGTAGCAGGACTTGGTATCAAGAGATACAAAGGCAACCCAGAAAGTGAAGTAAGTTAAGCCTGCATGATGAGTGAGTACACCAGGAAGAGGAGGGAACGAAGACATACAGCACTCCCACGCTTGAACCCTTCCGAAACTTTTCACTGCACACAGAATATCTAAACCCTTCCCTTGTTCACAAGACCTAGGTGGTCTAGTCTTTGTTCACTCCGATGTCTCTACTGTCCACCTAGGAGACACTATATTCCAGGCACAGTGACTGGCTGTCATTCCACAATCTTGCCAGGCCCATTCCTCAAGACTGGTACAGTAGTTGTTCACTCTTTCTGGAATGTTCTTTCCTCTGATCTTGCATGGTTGGCTCCTTGCCATTTGGCTTTCCCTGAGAGGCAAAATACTACTCAGTAAGTGTATCTGGCTATGTCTCCAAGATGGTATTTAGTGTAAAATTCCTAGACAAGGTTAGTGTATACTTGCACCATCATGAAAATAATGATGAAGCCAGGACCAGCATTTACCTATGACAAAGTTCCCTAAAATTGTTTTCTGATGAAAATCTTGGCCTTGCTCATAGGTTCTCTCTTGGATGGGATTTCTTTCTAATGAGGTCTATTTTTTTATTCAACTTTCATAAAAAGATGTCAATCTAACTCCTAACTCAGCTAACTATCAAGCATATTGCTCTACATGTAGCCAACAGCATAAAGAATTACATGCAATGTATACATATAATTTGGGTCTTAGATAAGAGCTGGAATAGCTACCATTTTGTAAAGCAATTCATATACACAAAGTAAAATGCTACACAGTTTCCATTAATTGTTATTTAACCCTCATAGTAACACTGGTATTTAAGCCCCATTTTTTAAAAATAATAAGTACCTTGTGCTACAACACACAATTAGGACAGCTAAAAATATGTAGGAAAGATTTTATGAAGACTATTGCATAATCTTGTAAATTACTACAATACATTCTACCTGCAATATTCTCTATATCCTTGGATTAAGACAGACGGTCAGAAAGCTGTGTATATATACTGCACTGGTTAAGATCCTAGAGGAATAGAATTTACTCAACTGGGCTTTGGTTTCATACCACTGGCTTATTTTGAGGGCTGTTATAAGAAATTGCCCTGTGGGATTTGTTTTGCTACAGTGTATAATGTATATATAGTCTTGGTATAAAGTGAATTCTTTTGCCATTACTATGAATCAGGTCACTGTTCATATTCCCTTCTTTGTGTTGATTGCTGGAGAGCTCTGGAGCCAAGTTTGTGGCTTAGGTCTAAAAAGTATGCATTTATTTCCCAAAATACTAGTGTCACTGTTATCTTCATATTTATAGTATCCTTATTTTCCCATGGCCAAATTTCCTTGCATATTTTTAGTTTTATTTTATCCTACTATTCGTGTATTTTTATGAGTCTCCATAAATCTGTTTGGAACAAGGCACAGTGCCAATAATTTCAGTGTATCTTTTAGCTCTGTGTGCCAACACAGACCTCTCATTGTATGTGTGGTGAGAGCAGCTCATCTCCTCTCAGTCCTTACAGTTCATGACTTTACACAATGTCTACTATGGTCTGTACAATAAATGAGACTATTAGAACACAGTCTGCAGTAAAAAGTAGGATGGCCATTAAATAACAAAACATCTAATATTAGAAATGTGGTCCCAGAAAAGTCTGTTTGTTGTTTAGGTCTGAAGTATGATTAAGTACAAAACACTGAATAAAATTCAGATTCTTAAATACACATACAGTTGTTTTATTTGACTGGCAAAGTGCATTATACCACCCAGAACATAATCAACTCTGATCACCGACATCACAGTTGGTGCACCTGTGTGAAGTAATTCACTACATGAGGTCTTAAAATACATAACACCCATGACAGATGCTCTGCATGAATGTTCTTTTTCTCCCAGATTTAAATATGGAATCGTGAACATATTTTAAACTTTAAATCCCTTATTCACCTAAACACAATCTCACATTTCAGTCTGCCCTACCTATAATTTCTGTCTGTATAGTGATTAAGGACAACATGATTATACATGTAAACAAAAATAATTTTAACTGAAGATGAAATTATGGTACTGAGATTATACAATCTAACTGTATTTGAGACTATTTAAGTTTAAGCCCGAGGTAGCTATATTTATGTTTCACAGAGCTGGAAAAGATTTTTTTGAAAAAGCTTTCATCAATATTGTTAAGATACAGATAAAAGCTAACACTAAGGTAACTAACAGGTAACATAAAAAAGACTGAATAAAGCATCACAGAGATTTCACAATGAGACTGGAAATTCAATTTGCCAGGGGGAAAAAAATCCCAAGTATACATGCTCATTGGAAATCCATATACTAAGAAAAAGGCAAGATCTCATTAAAGATAGGAAAGAGTTATAATTTTCTGTTTAACAAATTTCAAACATTTAAATATTTTCATGTAATTATAAAATACTGTTTAGAAAAGAAAGGAAAAAAGCACAACTGAGGATTATAGGTAACCAAGATAGATAAATCAAGAAGAAGCACTAACAGAGATTTCTATTATGATTATCAGGGCTATACAATTACCAAGAATTTCAAAAGTGTTTGCTGACCCTATTAATGTACACCCTGAAATAACACCTGAGTGAATCATCTTCTAATTCTCTAACTGGATGGCATTTTGGTGTAGAAGACATTGAATACTGTTTAGCTTTTTAAATGACTTTATAGTACATACTAAAATACTTTATACTCAGTATTTCTTTCTACAGTGGTTTAAAAAAAAATTTTTTAATAAGAATTTAAAACATGCAAACTGTCTTTGAAATTTCAAGGAAATACCTTTGGTATTTAACTTCAGTGATACTGGTAATACAGATTCCCCCCCGAGGACCTCTGGCAAAGATCCCTTAGATTATCAAGATTATATAATTTTACCTTTTAATACAAGCAAAATAACATTTAGGGAGTTTACAATACTAGTTATTTGAAGTAAGTACACTGATAAATGTTTCAAAAGTAGGTCTATAGTAAACTTACATCTTTCGGGAGCTTGGTCGATGTGCTCTGGACACAGAAGGAAGAAGTTCCGAAAGTCCTGAAAGGTACCAGCTCCCGCAGCACAAGGATAATGGTACATCTGGGTGCATTTCTCTTCACAGCATTTAATAGTGGCTCCAAGGTGCTTACAAAATGCACATCGCTGAAAGGGGGCAAATGGGAAAGAAATCTCTTTATAAGACCTGGAAAAGGAGCATTCAAATGTGGGGCTAGGAAGGTATTTAAAAAATATGTGTGCACTACTAACAAAACAATTTAAACCTCCATAATACTAAATAAAGGATCCATTAAAAATAAGAAAATCTAAAGTACTCAGTTGAGTGCTTGGTATAATACAGGTTCATCCATTCAAGTTTAGAAAGTGAGCATTTCACTTTCTTCTTCTGACTTTTGCCAAAAACAACTAAAAACTTTTTAAATTAGTAATATGGTTGAAAGGGCAGGTATCTAGTTGTGGGTTATTTCAACACATTTTAAATCCCACCAACAAACTATTTAAAATGAATCTATACTGTTTACAAAACCTTACTATTTTCACCCTACCTAAAAATAAGTGTGAAATAAACCACACTCAATCATAGAGTAAGTTAGTAAGGGACGATCCTAGGATTAAAGGTACACCTACAAATCTACACATTTCCCTGCAGCAATTAGTTTCAAGTTTCTTAATAAAAACTGTGAATGGGAAGAAAAATTACATCATCTGAGTATCTCCTTTCCCTATTTCAACCTGCCTCTACTCTCTTGCTACTGGTAAAAGCAGAGGAGGAAGTTCCAATACAAACACAGGGGAAGGGCAGGGCAACTAAAGGTGTAAGAAGTCAATACAAATTGCCTACAATGTGACCTGTACTTACTCAGCCTTCCCTAAGAATAATTAATAAACTCTCCCTCAACCTCCCAAGGTCATTCTGGGTATCACTTTCTTTGTGGGTCTTTTGCCAGATAGCCTGCATCGTACATTATAAAATCTCTCTTCTGCAGATGCTTAGCTGTCTATCTTGCGTCGGCTTCTGTTTTAGCGTTCGTGCCGCTGCATAAGAATTATTTACTTGTCTTTTCACCCTAGTCCTGGATCCTTGAGGACAGGCACATATTCTGCTATCTTTGTATCTGCAGCACTGTGAACGCCACTTGACACAGAAAGCCCTAATAAACAGGTGTTCATATTTATATGTACTAAATGGACGTCACTGTTGGTAATCTCATTGTTAAGTGCGGTTCATGAAAGCATAATTGAAACAACAGAAGCCAAATGGGACAATCTGTGGTAAAACTGGCCCTCCTGAGAGAAGTTGCTAACATTACTAAGAAGATCTTTTTTAAAAAGATTTTATTCATTTATTAGGAGAGAGAGACAGCATGAGGGGAGCGCAGAGAGGAGGAAGAGGGAGAGAAAGAGAAGCAGACTCCCCACTGAGCAGAGAGCCCGATGCAGAACTCAATCCCAGGACCCTGAGATCATGACCTGAGCCGAAGTCAGACGCTTAACAGACTGAGCCACCCAGGCGCCCCAAGAAGATCTTCACAGGCTAACATACTCATTCTATATTCTGCTAGTCTATCAAAGAATACAATAGTTTTTATTATTTATTTATTTATTTGACAGAGAGAGACACAGCGAGAGAGGGAACACAAGCAGGGGGAGTGGGAGACAGAGAAGCAGACTCCCCTCTGAGCAGGGAGCCCGATGCGGGGCTCGATCCCAGGGCCCCAAGATCATGACCCGAGCTGAAGGCAGAAGCTTAAGGACTGAGCCACCCAGGTGCGCCTACAATAGTTTTTAAATTATAATTCATTCCAACATTTTATATAAGGTACCATCAAATTCTTCCATCAGGCCATGGCATTGAACCAATGTAAGAAAGTTTAGTATCTCTTTATGAGTCTTCTACACATTTTGAGTACTGTCAATAGACCACTATAGCGTCTAGGTGACTCATAAACACTAGTTGTATCTGTGGCATTTCTGTTGTCTATAATGTCCACAAGTTCAAAGACTAATAAACATTTCACTTCTCTTTTTGTACTTATGGGTGCCACATCATTAAAAAGACAAAAGAAAAGATTTATTTCTCTTTATAAAGGGTAATAACCAGCTTTTTCTGATTATTATTTTTATGTTATGACGTCTCAGGGTCTCTAAATACGTTTAGTGTATTAACACAATCCAGAATTTATTTTTATTATTATGTTATGTTAATCACATCATTAGTTTTTGATGTAGTATTCCATGATTCATTGTTTGCGTATAACACCCAGTGCTCCACGCAGAACGTGCCCTCCTTAATACCCATCACCAGGCTAACCCATCCCCCCACCCCCCCTCCCCTCTAGAACCCTCAGTTTGTTTTTCAGAGTCCATCGTCTCTCATGGTTTGTCTCCCCCTCTGATTTCACCACCTTCATTCTTCTCCTCCTGCTATCTTTTTTTTTTTTAAACATATAATGTATTATTCGTTTCAGAGGTACATTCAACAATCTTACACAATTCACAGCACACATGGCATATACCTTCCCCAATGTCTATCACCCAGCCACCCCATCCCTCCCACCCCCCACCATTCCAGCAATCCTCAGTTTGTTTCCTGAGATTAAGAATTCCTCATATCAGTGAGGTCATAGGATACATGTCTTTCTCTGATTGACTTATTTCGCTCAGTGTAATACCCTCCAGTTCCATCCACGTCTTTACAAATGGCAAGATTTCATTCCTTTTGATGGTTGCATAATATTCCATTGTATATATATACCACATCTTCTTTACCCATTCATCTGTCGATGGACATCTTGCTCTTTTCACAGTTTGGCTATTTTGGACATTGCTGCTATAAACATCGGGGTGCATGTACCCCTTCGGGTCCCTACATTTGTATCTTGGGGGTAAACACCCAGTAGTGCAATTGCTGGATCGTATGGTGGCTCTATTTCCAATTTTTTGAGGAACCTCCATACTGTTTTCCAGAGTGGCTGTACCAGCTTGCATTCCCACCAACAGTAACACAACCCAGAATTAACAACATGTGTAACATCTAAGTAGTCTGAGTATCCTTGAGTCATACTGAAAAGACCAAGAAAATGCTTCAGGAGGGAAGTGCATTGTATGTCCAACTGATCACTAAAAAGTTTTTACATTAACTCATTAACATAACAAAATAATTTCAGCTAAACTGTTAAAATCTAGAATCTCCATTATTTTTTAGCATATGGCAAGTTGTACAGAAGCCTTTTGCACTAAAAATTTTGGCAAATAAAATATAATGACTTTTATTTAAGTGCATAATAAGGAAACAAAATAATTTAAATTGATCCTTTTCCCAATGTCTATATCATTTTAAAGACATCAACATGTTCTCTTAATCACATTTGCAATGGAAAATATTACGTGACATTAGCTAAACTACTATAAGAAGTACTGGAATGTATCCAACATACCAATTTACAATAACATATAAAGATACAGGGAATAAAGGAAAGGAAATAAAATACTAACTGCATTTAAGTGAACATTTCAAGCCCATCTGTTATAGTTACATAGCTAATGAAAGACATTTGGCATTGAAAGAAAATGTATACTCAATATATAGACTGGAAGAGATCTTTCTGAACGAAATAAAAGCATTTGTAAAATTGTAGAAATTATGAAAGAATAGATTTCCACAGGGAACTTCTCTAACATCAGCATTCCTGTACAACACATATTAGAAATGAAACAAATTATAAACTAAGTAACAATTACAAAGCTAATTAACATTTGGGGAGAGGGAGGTAAAGTAAATAGCTCTTAAGTAGTTTACCAACTAAACAATTTATTTGAATCAGTATTTAAAACCCCTAAATAGCATTTTATTTTTTTTTAATCATTAACAAAAAGAAAAAGAGAGGTAGAGGAAAAAAAGTGTTATATCTTGACAACTGTCCAAGAGCACATCCAAGAAAAAACTCTCAATTAGAGTTCATATTGCCAACTACTGTTAAGAATAAGTTTGAGGGGGGGCGCCTGGGTGGCTCAGATGGTTAAGCATCTGCCTTTGGCTCAGGTCATGATCCCAGGGTCCTGAGATCAAGTCCCACATCAGGCTCCCTGCTCGGAAGGGGGCCTGCTTCTTCCTCTCCCTCTGCTGCTCCCCCTGCTTGTGCTCTTTTGCTCTCTCTGTCAAATAAGTAAATAAAATCTTTAAAAAAAAAAAAAAGAATAAGTTTGAGGAACTTCCAAAACTTTTATTTCACTAGACTGAAATAAGGAAGGTTCTCTCAAAATAAATCTGCAATACAAAACAAAGCAGAATCAACAAAATTTCAGAGATTAAGGTTAAAGATGAGTTATGAAACAATAACAAAAAGTTTGAGGCTATTCCAAAGTTCGTCCAATTAATTATGAAGTATTTATTCTGTATCAACTATGGCTATGGGCTAAGTGCTCAAAGAAATATCAGATAATATTATAGGATTTCCATATACCAAACTTTTTAACCTTTCCCAAACTTTTCTTATCAGTCAGCTGGGATTCTCCCAGAATGCTCAAGGCAGAATAAAGAATGAGGACAGAAAGTAAGAAAAACAAGAAAAATGACATGGAAAACTGATCCACAAAATCCAGTGTCTCTTTAAGCAAGAGTACCAGAAGGAGAGAAAATAGAAGGATTATAACCAGAGAAATTATTCTAAAAAATATTATGAAAGTACCTAATAATAAGAGCTAACAAGTACTAAGCATAATTTTATTGACCAGGTAGGGGAGTCAGAGGAGTCTTTCTCTCTGTACACTAATCTTTGTATCACTACAAAAGCACCTACTCTTAATATCTGCCACATTGCCTCTCTAATCAGAAAATACCCACTTCAGATTAAAATGTCTCACACCTAGAAACACTGGCAAAATTTTAAGATAATGAAGAAAAGGAAAAATTCCAGTAGCCTCACAAAAGAAAACAAGCCAGCTACAAAGAAAGGAGAATCAGTCATTACTTCTCATTAGCAATATTCAATGCAAAAAACAAAACAAAACAAAAAAACTATCTTCCAAGGTCGACAAAAAAATTATTTGAAGCTAAAATTTTAATACCTGCTAAGTTTACATTGAAGTCCATGGATAATAAACATAAACAGGTTAAATTCCCTATTAAAAGAACAGTAACTTTC